AAACTGTAATCTTTGGTTGGCACAGACTACCAAATCTAGGGGCTTCAAAGGCCAAGTGGAACGTGACTCCAAAATCTCCTAGTAGATACTCCAAAGGATTCAGTTGGCTTAAGCTGTCAAATCTAGAGGCAAAAACTATCAAGCAGGACACAACTCCTACATACTCAGTAAGCTGTCAGTACTGCCATATTTAACACACATATATTAGTATCCACATCATTGTTCTCTTCAAGGTTATCTATTTGATATTAATACGTGATAGGCTATTGGTGATGGTATTGTTGTTGTTGTTATTGTCATTGTAGTAATCGATGGTGCAATTTTGATAAGTTGTAATTGGTTGGAATATAATGTTGATATTTTGATAAGATAAACTGATTTCAGTTTTTGTTGTAAAAAAAAAAAACCAAGGTGTTTCTGTATATATGAGCGAAAAAGATATCAAATCAAAGGTCTTTCTTTATGCAACCTTCATCCACAAGATGCCCAGTCTTGAGAAATTCAACCAAGAGTTCCATCCTTATGCAGCTTGAGTCTTTACAACCAAACTCTTAAAATTGGCTCATATGTAACAGGTCTTTAGGATATATAAGGCTTGTTGTATCGGTATTAGCAGAGGTAACTCTTTGTCTTGAAGAAGTGAAGCTAGTCTTTCATCCAATAAATTCAGGATTTGACCTTCTGCCCATAACACCCGGCTCTATTTAGCCTAAACCTCTTAAGCTATTGTGAAAGGGGACAACCAGTCAGCTTTTTTAAAAGAGAATTTTTATCCTCGATAGTAGTAAAGGAAGGAAAAAAGTTTCTTTTTAGAGAAAAAGATAACTTGACAAGACTCCAAACTTGTCTCGTTAAAGTTTCCTAAAAAGGAAAGTTTTTCAAAATTTGAGGAAAATGGAAAAGAGTTTTTGATATCATATCTGGCTTTATATTTGGCATAAGATATTTATAATTAGAAAATTTGAGATATAAGGTTAGTATTTTTAATCTTTAACTGATTAGTCTTGACAATAAGTTCTAAAGAGTGGATATATAACTTCTGTTTTTTACTATTAATATTATTAAATATATTTTCCTATTGCTTTTTTTTCTGATCCCATTCTTTTCTTTCTTTGTTAAACTTTTTTACTCGCTTTAAGAATTTAGATTGTAATGTTTCATTACAGTCATTTAGCTCAAATATAGATTTTAAATTGTGATGTAAAGTTTCTTTGAGTTCTTGTTCCCACATACTGCCAAGACAATGACCTTTATTAGAGTTAATATCTTGTAGCATATGTATATTAGCTATATATCTTTGGATAAACTATATATAATATATATAAAATAATTTATAAAATTATCACACAATAATTATATATAATTACCAATAATTTTTGATAATTTTCGATAATTTTTTATAATTATAAAAAGGATGGAACACATAACTGTAAAATATTATTATGCTGATATATCTTATCTATTTTCAGAAGCTATTGAGGAAATTATTCAATCTCAAGGAACAATTAAAAATGCATGCAAGAAAATAGTTGATAGATATAACACTTCAACTTACCAAATTTATGAATCTGGAAAAGGCATGCCCAAGGATTGTCTCAGCACAAGCAACAAATGATACAAAATACATTTCCTTCTGAAATAACATCTATGCCTAGAAATAATATCTCAAATGAGTAGATAAAAAAGAAAAAATCTAGTTTTAAATCAATCTACTCTTTACATTTAACTTCTAATAGTGAAGGAAAAATAAAAAAATAAACAGGTATAATATAAATAACATTCCTAATACAGATATAATTGTCCAAATTGAATGAAAAATAAAAAGAAAAGATAAAAACTTATCTATTAGTACTTATATAAAATCTACTACTTAATATATATTGACTTTATCAATAACAGACATAATAATATTTCCATATTTTACTTGCAGAGCTTCATTATAATCATTAAGTTCTATGATTGATTTAAATACATTATAAAGACTTTTCTTATATTTTTTACAATTTACACATTTTTTTTTTACCTTTGACACCTGTAATTTTTCTATATTAAATGTATTGCGTAATTTTTATGAGTAAAAAAAGAAATTGTAATAGTCTTTCCATTGTATATAGCTATGAATTCTTCTTTCATTATTGGATCCCACCCAATATGATGTTGCCATTTTGTATCAAGTATCATTATAGATATGTCTTTTTCATTTCGATCCTTTTCTATGGGATTATAGATATTTCTTTTTCAAAAACTGTTATAGAATCTTTTTCAATACCTATGGTTATAGAAACATTATATGAAGTACCAATAGATTAAGAATCTCTAACTGTATCAGTAAGTTTGTAAACATTTTTCTTATCTATTTTTATCTCTAAATACTCAGAAATGTTATTAGTATATAATGAATTATTTGCACCAGTATCTAGAATTGCATAAGGTATTATTAAGTCATCTATTCTACATGAAATCATTGCCACATTATTAGGTTCTTTTATATTGAGAAAATCAATCTCAAAAGGGTTAGGCCAATTTTGTCTTATTTGTACTCCTTGATATATTTTAATAGTATGATTTAATGTAATAGAATTGTCAAGTTTTTTAATTGAAGTATAAGCTTATAATTGTGTTTTGTTTCTTTGTGACTTGAAGAGTTTGAAGTTTGATCCTTAATAATTTCAATAAGTGGTTGGAAAATAGATATTTTTTTGCAATAATATCCCATACCTTATTTCGTTCTTTGACTATATACTTTTCACTATAATATAAATCAAACTGATCCTTCATTTTTATAAACAGGTTATTAAGAAATGTACGAAGTCCAATAAGAATCTTTCTAGGACAATTATGTATTAATTTGGATATTATATATTTAAGAAATTTAAGAAATACTTCCTGTTCCAAAGTAATGATAGATTTTTTCTTAATAGAAGATTTCTTTTTTACAGGAATCTGATATTTTTTTTGTATTAAAACAGGATTGCATATTATTATTATCATTATTATTATCAGAGATGATCTCTTCTTTCTCCTCTGAATCCAAGTTATTTTCCAATATCACTACCTCTTTATCATCTGAATTTTCTGGTTTGCTTTGATAAACATTATTAACTTTTTTAAGTTTCTTAACAAAACCAGGACATATATTTTTTCTATACTTAATTTTTTCACAATTTGAGTATTTATAAGTAACTTTAATAGGCTTTTTTGCTAGCTTTTTTGCAAACTTCTTTACTAGCTTCTTTGTATTATATATGTTTTTTGAAGTTTTGGTACTTACTTCACTAATTTGACCAAAAGGTTTTTTTTTAAAATTATAATTTGCATGTTCTAATCTATTATATAATTTATTATCAATAAATTTTATTAAATCATTAAGATCTCGTGATCCATAATCTGAATAACCTAATCTTTTAGCAATAGTATTCAAATAATCTAATGCTTTATTTTCCTGAAGTTGTGATTGATATGGGGTTGGAGATGAATTAGTTACAATAACAGGTAAATTTCTATTTCCATTATATGTAAAAGTAAAAGGTTAATGCTTAAGCCAAATATTTTTTAGATTTGTAAAGAATGCATTTATATCGGCTGGAACTGTAATTTTCATTCTTAAAAAGAGCTCATCTGGTAAGTGGTTCCATAAGATTGCCAATGCATCAGCATTATTATTTGGTGTTTATAATAATAAAAGTCGAATTCTTTCTTTATAAGTTTCTGAAATATCTGTAGGTAAAAATTTTTTTTGTGTTGGTTTTATTAAAGAAGCTTGTCTTGTTCCTACAGTTAATTCATAATATTTATGTCTAAGCCAAGCTCTGAAATAGTTTGGAGTATCAATATTAGTACTAACAAGATATTAAGCTGGAACTGGAACATATTTTCCTGTTATTTTTGATTTATAGATATCTGCCTTATGCATATCAGTAAAAGTATTAGCATTTGCATGATTGGTATTAACTATTATTGTATCAGCAAAAGAAATTGTTTGTTGAATCTTATTATAATAGTCATCTGATGGTTCTTATCCTATGTAATTAGAAATATGTGCAAGACTTGTTTAAATAGTTTAATATATATATTGTCTAGAAGCAGCAGCCATATTGAGTGAATTTGCTAATGGATTATTTTGTAATACAAAAATTTATTAATATAAATTAATAATTGTTTGTCAGATATCATGGATTTTATTTTTCCATTTTTCATATCTCACTATAAGTTGATCTCGCCAATACTCTAATATTATTCCATAATTATAATATTGTTGTAACTGTCATTTCAATTCCTGGTTTACTTGTTTATTCAGAAGCTGTAATGCAAATTGTTTATGCAACAATTAATTAATATGTCTATTTTTTTGAGTTTTAATATAGATAGCATTCAACTTTCAAAAATTGTGAGATCTTTCTTTATCTTCTATATGATTTTGTAAAGTATCACATTCTTGTATAAGCTGATGATTACAGTTTTGCAAAGTAATACCATCCTGGGTGAGCTGGTTAATATGATTTTGCTGAAGTGTATTAAGTTGTCTATATCTATTAACATCTTGTTGTAACCACTTTATTTGATTGTCTTGATTATCTTGTTCTGCAATAATGCCATCAATATCCTGATACGCATTTTGATAATTATGATGGACAGTATTCAAAGAACTATGAACCTCTTCAATAATTCTGATAGGATTATTTAATGGCATACCACCTCCTCTAAGATAATTTTTGAGTTAATTCAAGCCTTGGTTAATAAGTATAAAAAGATCTATATTTGTCATATTAGTGTCTTGTTCTTCTAAAGTCTAGGTATATGGATCTGGCAAGCTTCTTTTTGATGAAATAATTTTTACTATAAATAAGATAAATAATTCTAGTATTGTTATAGATCCTTTAGAATCTCGAAAATTTGATATATTTATTGATTTACAAAAAATCTATTATCATCCTTCCAGTTATCAAAGGATTAGTAAAAAACTTTATGAAGTTGTATATAATACCGGTTTTGATTTTACATTGGCCAAAGTTCAAGAATAACTTGAAAGACAATTATTACATTTAATTCATAAATCTCAACCACATTTTATTCAGTATATATCTTTTAATGAAATTCAAAATTTAAATGAAATGCATCAATCTGATCTTAATCCTATGCCTCATAATAAAATTGGTAATCAAGTTTTTAAATATAGACTTGTAATAAAAGACGTGGCAACTAAATATCGTAAAAGTTGTGCATTAACTAATAAATCTGCTTTTACTGTAGCAAAAGCAATCAAGAAAATTTATCATGATTCTAATAATCACCTTTCTTGGCCTAATGTTTTTAGAATTGATAAAGGTACTGAATATTTAGCCGAGTGTAAAGATTTATTATTAAAACATGGTGTATATTTTGATTCCAAAAAATTTAAACGTAGTAATGCAATTGGTGAATGCAATTATCAGGAATTTGAAAAACATGCTTATATTCGTCAAGATGCAATTGACTTCCTTTTACCTTTATCTGAAAGGTGTCGATTATGGGTTAAAGATCTTTGTAATAATGATAATATTTATAATGATACTTCAACCCGATTAATTCATATGTCTCCTAATGAAGCTGTAAAAAAAGCTTTAAAGGGTGAAAAAATAATTGCTAATCTATCTGTAAATCATCGTAGACCTATTGGATTTGATGAACCTCGGTTAACTTATAAAGAATTGGTTTTATATTTACTTGAATCCGGAGAATTAAAATTTGGCAGGAGACGTATAACTGATATGAATTGGTCTCCAAAAATTTTTCGTATTAAAAAATCACTAATACAAAAAAGTCAACCAGTATTATATTGGCTTATGGATGAAAATGGTGATCGACCTGAGCAATCATTTGCGAGAGAACAATTATCATTAGTGAATAACAATATAGAATATCCTCCAAAATGGATACTTAATAATTAGATTTAAATATAATAATAGATAATGTGTAATTACCTCTAAAAATGAGACATAAATTAACATTAATGGATGCTCATAATATTGCTTTAGAAAAAAATGGAAAATGCCTTTCTGAAATTTATATTAATAATAAAACTCCTTTACGTTGGAAATGTAACAAATATCATAAATGGAATGCTTCTTTATGTGATATAAAAAGAGGAACTTGGTGTCCACATTGTGCAAGATGTTTTAAACTTAATATTAATATTGCTAAAGAAATTGCATTTAAAAAAGGTGGTATTTGTCTTTCTGAAAAATATAAAAATGGTTATACTTCATTATCTTGGCAATGTGCAAAAAATCATATATGGCAAGCTCCTTTAGAAAGAATAAAAAATCGAAATTCTTGGTGTTTTAAATGCGCTGGTAGTGGTGGAATTAGACTTTCTCTTCAGATTGCTAAAAATATAGCTCAATCCAGAAATAGCGAATGTTTATCAGATAAGTATATTAATATTCAATCTCCATTACAATGGAAATGTCATCAAAAACATATTTGGTATGCATCTTTAGATACAATAAAAAATCGAAATTCTTGGTGTCCTCACTGTTTAGGTAATGCAAAACTTAATATTGATATTGCTAAAGAAATTGCTCATCGTAAAGAAGGAAAATGTTTATCTGAAAATTATATTAATATAGATTCTAA